GATGGTTAGACGAAGGTAATAAACCAGAGCCTTGGAAATCTGCTGAGATGCTTTGTTGGGAAGAATATCAAGTAGTGGGATTTGATTCTAACTATGTCGAATTTGCTTACAACAAATCTGTGAGTCAGACTACGGGCTGCACCCATTTAAGATCATGCATGGACTCAACCTGCTCACTCCGCTCAAATTGGTACTGCTCCCACCGACCTCAGAGATTAGTGAGGATGCAGAGAAATAGGTGCATGAGATTCAGACGCTCTATGAGGAGGTTGAAAAAGAGATCGCGAAGCAGAACTGCAAGTACCAAACATAGGTAAACACGGCAAGGAAAAGCGACCTTTAAAGAAGGAGACCTAGTGTGGATCCGGTTGAAGAAAGAGAGATTCCCAATAGGAGCATTCATAAAACTCAAAAACTAAGCAGTCAGACCTTTAAGAATACTTTGGAAGCTGAGTGATAATGCATATAAGATCGACCTGCCAGGTGACTACAATGTTTGCGCCACATTCAATGTCACAGACCTGACAATATACTACAAAAACCCAGAAGCTTTGACGGATGAAGTCGAAGATCCCCCAACCTTGGGAGACTGACGCGGGGTGTGCGTATGGGTTTAACTATGCAGTTCAACCCTAGGATGAGTCGGTCTTACTGGGAAGCTGGACCGGTCAGCCAGTCATGGGTGTGAATTACTGTCCTTTTTTCCTCCCTTCCCTCTTATACATCTATTATAAATTCGTATGTTTGTTGAGTTAGAGTTTAGTCTTGGTTTTTGTTTTAGATTTTTGCCTACTGACATCTTTCCTTGATAGGGTTGTGTCCCTTGGTGGTGTTTCGGCTATATCTTGTTTTGAGGTGGTGATAATCCCTTTGATTCTCTCTACACTCCCGTCCTCCCTACTCTTAGCCGCTGGCTAGCATCTCTCTTCCCTCCTGATCCAGCCGCTAGCCACCCAAATTACCTTTTCGTCCTCCTAGCCGCCGACCATCCCCTCCTTTCCCTCCAGCTCCAGCCTCCAGTCTCCAGCCACCCAACTCCCCCTCTCCCTGCTTCTAGCCGCCGGTCGCCCTAGAGCCTCATACTTCCAGCCACCTATTTCTTACCATCTTCCACTTCAGCTCTCAACCACCGTGCCAACACAACCGTTGTCTCTGGATCTTCCTATCCGACCCTAGCAAGATATTGATGTTATTGACTTTTCTAGTTTCTTTTAATTCCTAATTGTTATCCGATTTGTTCTAAGCATTAATATTTGTCTCCATTTTGTGTTTTGGATTAGATTTCGGTATCAATAAATTATGTGCATATATGAGTTTATTGAACGAAACTTAAACCACATCTTGTAATAATTTTTAACAAACATAATGATATGTTAACTACTGCTAGTTTCTAGCGATCAGAAACCAAAACTTGAACTTGAAGATCAAAGACAAATAATAAATTTATGTATGAATATTTAAAAATAAAAATGTATTCAAGAGCTTGAGCAACTGGTTAAAGATCATGAGGTGAAGGTAGTATGAAGCAAGAGAGTGAATATGAGGCATTGAAAATATTCATGAGAAAAATTTTGTGAACAAGTACTACTAGCACCGGCAACAATAGCCAGTGAAAATTATATAAGAAAGTTGGCAAGAGATAGTGGTGAGAAGGACAACCAAGACAAGAATAACTACAGTAGAAAAGATGAGCAGGACAACCGTCTGCACTGCAAATCTTCCCTTAGATTCCTTAACCATTTCCTTATCAATGCATGGAGACAGCTCTTCTTACTATGTACTGTGTTTGGGGATGCAATGATTTCTGTTTTAACCATATGAGGATAGATGGAAATTCGAAGTTTTCTTTCTAAGCTAATGCTGAATTGTAATTTTATAACGTCAATTTATTTCAGAGGCAAGATCTAAAATAATTTTAGTGGTGTAACAACCGCACACCTTAATATCCAACAAAGTGGATTGATTTTTTGTCATAATATTTGAAATTCAGATCAATTTTGACAAATGTTAGTTACTCTCAATTACTTTTATTGGTGATAAATGTGCTCTTGTGGTAAATTAGCCAATGAACAACCTGATTGGATCTATTAAAAGAAAATTTAACAAATGAGTTTGCTAGGCAAATTTAATTGAAATCTTTTATTTATTGAACTTTAAAACGAAAGAACATAGGACTTACATTATGATAAATGAAAGAGGCATTCGTAACAATGCATGTAACAAGTCTAATCACTGCGTAAATTTAGACTAATTTTATATGTAGTGAGTGATAAAAAACATCAACCAATTAACAAGAATTTACAATATGATGGATTTCATAAACAATCAATATATTTATATGTTAGCACATCCATATATTGTATATATTTCTATGTCTAATAGCTCAGGATAATCTTTAAATTATTATGTTATATTATATAATCGATCTCTTTTAATACCCTGAAACAAATTAAATATTTTTTTACTAATCTGATGGAGTCTAGATACCTCGCTAGAATGGTTTTCACTTTGATGATCTGTTAGATCAATTAGCTAATAATATTAATAGAAGGTTAATATCAACAATTACATCCTTCATATACCTAAGCAGAGCTTATACAATATTATGTCATGAGCAAGGTGTCATAAAAAAGATTATATCAATGCTATGATCAAAGCTTGCTATATCTTAATAAAGTCTATGATTAGTATTTTCAAGATTTATTTCACATCAAATTAGGCAATATACCAGTAGAATTAGTTATGCCGTCACAAGTATAATTTGAAGAGTAAAGAGTTAAATGTAGTAATTATCATGGCAATAGTAATTATATTCATATAACATTAATTTGAACATAATTCTTTTATGATTGAGGCTGTCAGTTTATTGATTCACAAGCCTATAATAAGTTTAAAGGATGATAATTTTATGCCGTTGCCTAGTCTAAGGGCAATTTTGTCTTTTATTAGCCTAAGGGAAATTTAGTCTTTTATTAACCTAAGGGCAATTTAGTCCTTTATTATTTTTATTGTTGCTGTTGTTTATATAAATAGGGCTAATATGTTCATGATTAGGGGGATGCATGAGATTATGTCTGAAGTCTTAACTTAGGCTTTGAGAGAGATTTCTTATCTCTCGACTTCTAAGAATCGTGAGAGATCATCTACCTCTCGAATTGTAGGTGTTTATCTTATGTATTTGCGTTGACTTATTTGGTGTTCGTGAAAAATAATATTTGTTGCCCTGATTTTAATGTGTAAAATCAATCAAATGTTGTCAAAGCAATTGATTTCTGGGAGATCACTGACATGATCCTGGTGAATAGGGCTTGAACTCCATATTGCATCTTCTAAGCTTCCCATGCGCTAAAGCTTTTCCCATGTCACAACCCTAATGGTGAAATGCTAAGGGATAGTTCCAGAGCGGGAGAGCGGATCTACCCAAGTCTTTAGTCGACCCTCTTCACTAGGCCTCTGCCTCAAATAAAATTCGTCGGACCTTTCAAGAATATATCACACATCCTTAGCCATCCATCACAATAAGGAAGCCCAAGAATGACTCCTTCAAGCCTAGGTCAAAATAAATGTCACTTATTCTGATGTAGAAAATGGAAAGGTAATGCTGAGTTGAGATCAAGAAAATAGCATCAGAGTGATGATCAACTCAAAAAACTACATTGAGAAAAATCCTACATGAACAACACAATCATTTATTTATCTTGCCAATATGCACAAAAAACAAAGATTTAATATCTGAACTTTCAACAAAACATAAATAACATGATTTATTCATAAGATTGGTTTAGTCAATTTGATATATTAGAGTAGTATTGTTATTTTGCATATGAAGGGATTATAAAATATGCACAAAAGGGGAGAAATGTGATGATGTTTCCCTAAAAACAAAAATACAGCTCTTCCAACTACTGTGATAAAAACAATACAAGGAAAACAATTAAAAAAAAAAGCTTGAACTAAAAAGAAAGAAGTAGAAGCACATTTGGATTAGTTCATTCTCATAAAGTTAGGTGGGAGAGAATGGGAGTTCACATTTTTGTATGACTGAGATTTATAATGCAAATGATTCTAAAATTCCTATAGAATGTTTGTCATTTAAAATTTTAATACTTTCATTGAAAATGGTTAAATTATAGATATTAGTTTAGAAGCTTATGCAGCTTAAACATAAACTGCTATTGATATTTCAGAAAAAGCAATAGATAGATCATTGAGGGAGTCCATGATTTAAGTTTAATTTGCTTTTTACTCAATTTAATGTAATTCTTAATAAACTCTTTTTTTTTCTCCTAATTTATGACACATGGAATTAATCTCATATTTTCTGTGCACGTGTGCATGTGCTCGTGTGTGCTTGTGTGCGCGCGCGTGTGCATGCGTGCGTGCGTGTGTATTCATGTCTTCTTCATATTTCATATAAACTTTAATATATATATTTCATATAAACTTCTTCAATTTTTTTTAAGAATCTTTACATACATCCACTCAATTTCTATGTATTTACATATCTAACACCTAAACTTCAATTATTACATGCACGTCACCTTACTTGTGAGTGAAAAGGTGTATATCACTTTTTAAGAGTTATAAAGGTGATATTTTTGATGTGATATGAAACATATAAGTAGTATAAATATAAATTGTAAAGTTTGAGTGTTAGATATATAAATAGATAAAAGTATGGTGGTACGATAAGAATTGGGGCTTTTTACATAAAAACCACGTTTTTCTTACATATTTACCGATTTAACACCTAAACATTTATATTTACTTGTATCTTCCTCAAATCCTTAACATCACATTAAAAATACCGTCATCACTGTCTTCTTAAAAGTGAAATACACATTTTCATTCATAGGGTTATGACACCTACGTGTATCTAGTAAGTCTAAAAATGAAACTTTGGGTGTTAAATATGTAAAAAAATAAAAATATCAGTTGTGTGGCATGCATGTAAATTTGTGAATCATTTCTGAAAACAAAATTGTAAAAAAAAATGGCAGGAAGTTGGGAATGTGCCATATGTTGTAGAGAACGGATGCGGAAAATTCTCAAAAAGTGCGAAGGAGATTGGGAGGATAGTTGCAGATTGGTTCGGGCCGAAATCCCAAGAGCTGATGACAATGTCTCAGAACTGCATGAAGCTATCAAGACCTGACGCTGTCTTCAAAATTGTTCATGATCTTCATGAGCTTGTCAGACACAGAAACCTTTCTCCGCAGTACTCCTGTGCTTCCTGACCTTTTTTTTTTAATTTTTTCATGTAATTTTGTTTTTTTTTTTAATTTATTGAAGTATGTGAGGGGGTATTTTTGTTAACTTGGTGAGGTTTTTGATAATTTATGAGGAATTCTGTTATTGTTTCCTGATACGGTTTCTCTCCTATGGTTGTGGTTTGGTTTCTTCATGAATGTGCTGAGCTGCTTTTAGAGCTGTTTAAAAATGTTGTTTGTGTTCAATCGGCTTGATTAGTTATTTATTTATATTTTATTATTATCATTTTTTGAGAAAAGTTATGCTCAAAGAACTATATATGTTATTCAAAACTGCAACCACACGGTGAAAAACTAAGCCCTCAAACACTTACGATCAAATAAAATTTGATCGTGTTTGACTTAATGGTAGCATTATTAAACTTAGGAAAAATTTTCTGTCCGGTCTCCAATCGTAATTCTACATGCGGACTCCAATAATATGTCGCTATGTGTGTTACACTATGATTATTTTGGAGTTATTGAAAAGAAACCCACATATTTCACTTCAATAACCCGGAAATAATCTTCCAAGGTTTCATTTCAATAATTCGAAATAACACTTCAAATGTTATTTTGAGGTTATTTCTGGGTTATTCGAGGTTTTTGAAGTGAAATATATAAGTTTCTCTTAATAACTTTGAAATAACTCAAAAATAACATTCACGGTGTTATTTCGGGGTCCGCGAAAGTTATTTCGGGGTTATTGTGGAATCCACAGTTTTACTTTAATATTTTTTTAGGTGGGTCTGATATAGGATACATGGCGGTATATTGCGTCTGGAGTCTGGACAAAAATTTTTTCCTTTTTAACTTTTTTTCCTTTTTAACTTAGTATTCATAAAAATATGCATGTACGTGTATTTTTTGTGTTTCACACACAAGCGATGGCATGCATATGTTATAATATGCTTAATTTAAACTTTTCTTTTTCGTAACGAGTGGAGTTGTTTAATGCTGAGTTCCCTCAAAATTCAACTTGCTTGCATCCTGTAAACTCGTGAGTACCGAGCACTTGGGTGGTTACCGGGATTGTCACCTATCATTACTTTTAAAATAAAATATATGTAATATTGTAATATATTTGAGAATAAAATTGTATCAAAAAGGCTTGTTCTTTGACACCGTTTTTTGCATATATTGACAACCTAAATCTTATTGAAAATTTATTTTCAAGTACAGTAAGCGAATGGGAATTTTTTTCACATAACATCTATTTCTTATAAAAATGCCATTTTATTATTTTTTTATTTATAATGTAATTCTAACACTTTAAAACATCAAATTGAAGACATTAAAATTCATTTTAATTGATGGAATTACTATATATAGATATATTCTTACGTGCTCTCAAGCCTTGGCCTGTTAGTGGCGGGGCACTGTAAGTCCCTCAGGTCAGGGGTTCGATCTCCCGTGGCACGTGAATCTTGAGTAGTTAGCACATGTGCCTAGCACACGGGAAATCGATATTTGGGTCTCTGTCAAAGACCGATTTTCTTTTGAATATATATATATTAAGATTTAAAATAAATTTTAACTAATTAAATGACAATGAAAACTAAAAATGAGGATAACATACTTTAAATCATTAAAAAATGTAAATAATGGTTTAAGATGACAATAATCAAATTCAAAACATTAACATAAAATATCAGAAGGAAAATAACATGTTAGAAACAGTACATATATTACTTAAAAAAGTGCCTATATACTGAACTAGACAAACAAAACTAAGAAATGAATAAAAATCAATCATTGGAGCCCATCAAAGAAATTTGCTCTATCATTAACCTTGCATAAGCCTGTAACTTATTACTTACAAATGGAAATTTAATAAGCCTAGAATAAAATACATCACCTTCCAGTTTATTAAGCTCTGCTATAACCATATAAAAATAATTAGGTTTGAACATTCAAATACTGTTGTTTATTTACAAATTTCCTGTAATAAGTTCACAAGGGTTAAAAACATTCATGAAATTCATCTGAAAAAAGAAAAATGTAAGTCTAAGATTTGAAAAATGCTGCCAGTAACTGCAATTAAACGCAATAGATGCGCCAAACTCCTACAATTTACAAAATTTTTGTAGGGGAATTCACCACCA